TTTTTTTCTCTATCTTATTGACTTTGATGAATCCATTTGTATTATTTTTATGAATCTCATTAATTAAGAAAATGATTTGAATTTAATGGGTTTTATTGAAATCATGATCTTGATTTCTCGTAATTATAATTTAAATTTTCTATTGAATGAATCAAGATTATTTTCTATTTAAAAGGAGATTTGTCGAAATGTTTTATGGTCTTTTGGTATTCATGATCTTGATAATTATGTTTTGAAACTTTATGTAAATCAAGATTGTTCATCATGATTCTCTCTTTGAATATTTAAAAAGGAGAATTTTCTAGATGAATCATGATTTTGATGATTGAATATTTGATATGCATGAATTGAGATCTTGCTCTCCTATTATTCTTTTTGCTATTCACTAAAAAGAGACTAATTCTAATAAACCATGATATGCTATATAAATTTTATTGTATTCATGAAGTAATATCTCATCACCAGTTTTTTTTTTTTATTCCTTCATGTGATGATATGAATCCATGAAACACTTATGATATGATTTTTATACAATTCCATGTATTCATAAAATATTTATCTTATTACCCAATTAATTTTTCTTGATATTCCTAATGTGATGAAATAAAATTATGCATGAAATACAAATAGGGAGAAGTTTTGATCATGCATGGTAGGATGCAATTTGACAAATTAATACCATCATGATTTGAAACATTTATGATTTGAAATTATGCATGCAATTGCTTTTTATTGTGATGATATTTGCATATAATATATATCATGAATGCTCTAAATGATGAATGCTTGGTATCATAATCAAAATATTGATAAATGCTATGATTTGTTACCAAAATGATGTATCATGTATGATATGCCCATAGTGATTAATTTATTTGTATAATGCATGAAGTAAGGATACAAACGTAAAGTTTTAAAATTATGCATATTTTAATTTGAAAACATAATGATGCACAAATAAGATTGAGACTTACCTTTCTCATGATTTAAAAATTGATGTAAAGGGTCTTCCTTTCTTTTTACCAATGACAAAGGGGGAGAAAGAGTTGCTAATGTGCTATCTTGAATTGTAAAGGGTCATCTCAAAGAGAAATTAGCTAGCTTGCACAAGTCAAGAAAATACAAAAACCTGCTTACCTTTTTGCACATCTAAAGAGAAGATGCAAATGTAACACTTGCCAAATTGTTTGCTTGCCTCATGTAAAACATTGTCTCTTGTAGTTTGGCATTTTGCTAAAGAAGCAAAAATGACACTTCCCAAAAGAGAAGAAAGAGCTTGCTATCTTAAACATCACAAGCTTGCCTATCTTAAGAAACAAAATTTGCAAAAGTGCTATCTTGCCTATCTCAATAAGCAAAACTTGCAACTTGCACATTGCAATAGGAAGCAAGAATCATGAGCTTACATAAGAAAGCTATCTTGCATTTGCTTTCGTAATTTTTGCTAGCTTATATGTAGCAAAACTTGTATATCATAAAAATTGCTAGCTTGTAGCCTAAAGAGAAGCAAATAATTGCTTTCTTGAACATCTCAAAATTGCTAGCTTGCGTGTCTTAAAATGTTAAAAAAAATTTGCTAGCTTGTATATTGTAAACTTGCTATTGTACTACCATGTATATCTATGATGATAGCAAACTTGCATGATAATAAAAATGGATATTATGCTTTTCATTCAATGAGTTGAACTTGTATTTCCAAATACATGATAGTGGAACTTCTCCTTTTTGTTGATGACAAAGGGGGAGAAGTATGATCATATTATGCATGATGACGTGTTGCAAATATTCATGATGAATAATTGTAATGACTTGAATTCAGTTTTAATTTAAGGTTCTATCAATATAGCATATTGATAGGGGGAGTTTGTTTAAACTTCGGGAGTTAAGGTTAACTTTGTCATCAAGTGGTTGTCATCATCAAAAAGGGAGAGATTATTGAATCTCGTATTTTGATAATGAAACCACTTGATATGTGTTTATGATTTAATCTGTGTTTTTGAGTGACGCAGGATGCTTCGATCAGGATGAGACAATTAAAGCAGGAAAATCATGTTATGCTGGAGGAACATGTTAGAAGATTGGACGTCGGGCTAGTGGATCGGTCGACGTATCGATAGAAAGCTTTGGGCCGTGGATTCGAGCATCGGGCCAAGAAGAGCGGAGATTGTGCCAAGGATATCAGAGTTGCGGAGTTAACTGGTCGATTGAGCAATAGGCCGCAAGAGAGGATGATGTACCAAAGAATCGGACGAAGCGTCGAGGGATCAATGACATGCCGGACAACTGGATTAATTGCTTTGGATTAATTGTCTTGATCGAAGTTTTATTTTAAGTGTGCAGGACTAACTATGATAGCTTAAAGATATAAAGCAAGTCTACTATAGTCAAGTTTGCTGGGTGTTCGAGAGTCCGCCAAGAGTCCGAAGATTCGTCAGAAGTGCTGCCGGAACCAACTGAGAAGAAATCGGGGACTTGCCGAAGTTTTTGGAAGTCCGTTGGAGAGATCGTCGGAGGTTCGCGAATATCACCGAGAAGGTTCGGCTACTTGCCAAAGACTTGCTGAACTCGCCACAAGACCGAGAGCTTGCTAGGAGTCTGCTGGAAGAAATCTGAGGGTGTATTGGAAGTCCGCTGGAAGTTCACCGAAAAGCTCGCCGGAAGGAAACTCGACGTTGCCGGTTAAAAACTTGCTAGGACTATTTCTTAATTTCATAGTTTTCATGTAATTAGGATTAGGATTCAAGGTTAATCCTATAACCCGGTTAGGGGCCAATTGGGCCTAAGTTCGGACTGGTTTGGGCCAATTTTAGAGCCCAACCAGTGAGCTGAAATAGTCTAGGCGGTGGCACCGCCCAAAACTCGAGAGTTCCGATGGTGGCACCACTAGCAAACTGCTAGATTGGGCGGTGGCACCGCCAGACCAGTACACTGTCAATGTCAGACACTAACAGGCGATGGCACCGTCAGCATCTGGAAGCCCAAATTTGAATCCTCTTGGGATTTATAAATACCCCTCAATTCTCGATAGAAAATACAACCCTTTGAGAAGTTAAAGATTGAGAAAAAGCCTTAGCAAAGTCTTTAGCAAGTCTTGTTTTCAATAGCTTAAGTGTTCACCTCCCTCTTTCTCTTTGAAAAAATCTGTAAGAGTGTGAACCACTTGTAAAAGATTGTAAGAGGGATATTTGTCCTTCCCATTCAAAATGATTTGCTAGTGGAAGTTGGGAGCCTCATCGAAGAAGGCTTCGCAAGTAGATGTAGGTCATTTGACCGAACTACTTTAAATTGGTGTGTTCCTTGAATATGTGAGTGTTTACCTTTCTGAAACCTTTATTTATATAGCGACAAGCTTTTGGTTTTCATCTCCTTACTTTACTCGAGCTACTTTTACTAAGTCATTCTTTGTCGAATAGAAATCGAAATCTCTATGCATTTACGAAATCGTTTTCAAACTTACGAGTTTTAATCCGCTGCACTAATTCACCCCCCCTTTTAGTGCCGCTCCAATCCTAACAAGTCCAATATGAAAGGGCAACCATCAAACATATTCAAGATAAAGGAAAAAATACTTACTATGAATAGGAAAGCTTTGAAATTGCTATGGCGCATTCCTACTCTTCCTAGTGTTCTTTTTACTATGTTGAAAATTATTACATAATCGTTTACAAACTTCAGCTAGACTTTCTTATATATTTTTTAGCTGTTTCTTTTCTAAAATCTTATGATCGTTTGATGAGAATTGTTTATATTTTCAATCTAAATATATAAATTATTGAAAAAACTATTATAGTGAAATAATTTTTTTTTCTTTATGTATCATTTCTTATCAAAATAATAATATATTACGAAAAACAAATATTAACCAAGGCAATATAAATAATGGAATAATGAATCAGAAATTGAATTTTTACGTGAAAAATCCAATACGAGAAAAATCACGGGACCATAGCCTACTTCAAATTTCTACTATCATTAATAATAATAATAAATTTACAATAAATCTTCTTCAGAATAATCAAAGGATTATAATAATATCAAGATCTTGGCTCAACAATAATATATCATTATCACCGTATATGAATTTTATGAAACAAAAAATTTAGATCTCATCAAGTGGGTATAACAGAAAAATATCTTAGAGGATAAACTATAGATCGATACCATTAGAATTGTAAAATTTACTGTAAAAATTCTTCGTATAAAATTTGAGTTAAAACTGTTTCTGTTCGCAGCCATCCCACGTCAGGCACGCCATTTTTTTTTTTTTTTCACTAAATCAGTTTTTGGGCTTAATACTCAAATCAATCGGTGCAAGCATATGGGCTGGTCCCAACATAAATGAATGACAGAATGTTTCTTGGATCGAAGAGTGAGATAAACTATGTAAAAGTAGTAGATTACTTCTCAAATCTCTTATTACACATAATTTGCTGTTGATTTAGAAAGCCCGCAATGATATTGTTTTTAATGGGAACAAGACGTCTCCTGTCAATTTAGCATATAGAGCTATTAATTATGTGATGTCTATGACCTCTCATGTATCCGAAGGGTTTATTAAGTTACCTTGCCAAAACAATATCAAATGAAAAAAAATAAACTCTGGTTGGATCAAACTAAATACTGATTATGCTTATAATATGAAAACTAAGAAGAGTGGGAACTGGTTGTTGTTGTTGATAGTATAAAACATGCAATTTCAGAAGGCATCAATTGCATTATGATTGAAGCTGATAATAAAAATTTGATTAGAATATTGAAGAAAGAGGACAAGCCTCTATGGCAATTTACCAATGTATTTCGCAACCTCTATATATGGTTTCCCAAGTTCATGGGTTTAGAACTTTCTCATATCTACAGGGAAGACAATTAGTGTACTCATTGACTTGCCATACATGCTAAGGTCTTAGGATTGACATGTGCATCATTAAATTATTTGGTGTTAAAAATATATATCCCGATTAATTCACATAAATTCGAAAAAAAATAATGGTATTTATCGTTTCCACGTATTCAGAACATCTTTTCCCAACACGTATTGCCATTCTCCTGATCTTTAATGGATCAGAGTGAAAACTCATGAGCTTCTCATCAAGCCCCTGTTGTTATCATCACACATTCAAGCAGATTAAGCTACTTAACAATTTCGTTTCCTCTTTCCTTAGCTAATTTAGACATACTGCTCCATGTCAAGCGGTCATAGGAGCGTTAGGCGACGATCACATGGTGGAATTTTGCGATCCATCACCTTCTGCACCTCCTTCTCCATCATCGTCCTCCTCTGTGTACCACAGGAACTCAGCATACGCAGCAAGAACATGGCTGCAAGGAAAATAAGCTTCAACTGTATAAGATTTTGTCTGTTTATAATTGAATAGGAAAGGATTCATGGATGATTTGCCTGTCATGAGGTGCAGCTTGAACTGCCTGTTGAAAGTAGCTGGAAGCTCGTTCTTCATCCTGGTGCAGCTCCCACACTAATCTAGCGTATTGTGATAGACTTTCTCCATCATCAGGGTCCGCAAGTATAGCGCGAGAGTAGTACTCCTCGGCTCTTTTAATGTCTCCCTTGGCCTACATATAATGGAAGCAAATCAGATGTTTCTTGATATAAAATCAAAGAAAATATGGATAAAAAAAAGTGTCTTAATTATTCTTCGCAGAGAGAAGGCAGAAGCAATGGAAATTTTACCTGGTAGAGAAACTCCGCGTAGTTTCTCAGGAACAGAGCATTGCTTGGGTTCTCCTCCACCATCCGCTTGTAGTGCATCTCCACATCCGACTGCTCTCCTCCGTTCCCCATCGGAACGTCGCATGTCCCAACACCACCACCACCGCCAGCGGTCAAGAGTCCTGACCCGATCCGGTCGATCCCGAGCCCTCTCGCGAGGAACAACGGAGGCGGCGGCGGCGGCCCGCCAATACTCGCAGAGCCAGTTCGATTTTCGCTTGCAAAATCGAATCCTCCATCAACGCGCTGCCCATCGTTCTCGTCATCGTCTTCTTCCTCCGCTGCCTCCTCTTCTGCCAGTGTTTTCCGGATGTACACGGAGAAGGAAAGGATGGTCTCGAGAGTCGTATGTGGAAGTTGAGAGGGGCACTTCGGTGATGGCGGATGGCGGTCGGAGAGAAAGGAGCGAAGATTGCCATCGGAGCGGCTTCTCCGGATGCCGAGGGACGGGCTCTGGTCACGGAAGCCGTCGGAGGTAGGGGATAAATGACAGGAGAAAGAGTGGAGGTCGGAGTTGGGAGAGGAATGGTGGTGGTGGTTGGAACACTCGGAGGAGATGTGGAGGGAGGAGGAAGAGGAGAGGAGGGAGCCAAGAACTGGGGTGGACGAGCTCCTCAACATCATCACACGGTTACACTCTTCCAAATGACTTCCCTCTCTTCTCCAAACCTAAATAAAGAAGAGTACTCGTCAACCAAACTCCCGTGAACAAGAAAGGCCGTAGGACTCTTCTAAGAGCGCGCTTGCTTTCCATCTCTCTTCACTAGGTGCAACGTGAGAGAGAAAGAGAGATCAAAAGAGAACCCAAAGGAAATATCTCGGAGAGAGAGAGAGAGAGAGAGAGGTGGGAAGTCTGTGAACCAACGTGGTGTGTTCGTCTTCTTCGCTCTCCTCCCGCCGATCTTTCGCCATCAACCTTCTTCTCGGTTTCCTTCTTCAGCTCTTCTGTTCTCGTGGCACTGTCCGTGGCCGAGAAAGGTGGAGTCGTCGACAACGAACACATGCAAATACCGGTCAACGGGCCTCTCGTGGGTAACTTTACGTGAAGCGTCATGCCTTTTTCGTGTATGTTAACTATATAAATAGTGGTAATTAATGTGATTGCTTAAGTCGTGACTCTTAAGATACGGACAGCAGGGAACATGACACATCTCGAGAAGCGTACTATTATTGTCTATACAATATTCTACTCTTGAGGACGCGTGCCGAGTCATCAGTCGCGTGCCAAGTCGTGACACAGTCACCGTGCTCAAGTTTAATTAGATATCGATGCAAAGGCAATATGATTGATAGAAAAACATTAGTATATGAGATGGAAAACAATTAAGAGATGATTAAGAATAGTCTTAACTTTTAGAAATTAAAAGAGTACAATATATAATTTAACTTAGGCTCAAGCTTTTTATGATTAAAATGCTGATTCTATCCTACAAGTGTGGTTGACAAGTCAACCCTTTGTAGCTTATGGAGAATGTTTGGTTGAGAGAAAACACAATTTTGGAGAAGATTTATATTAAAAAAATTATTATGAAAGAGATCATTTTATTAAATAATATATATTTATATATAATTTTTTTTCCTAATTATATGCTCAAATGATGTATTCAAATATTGTACTCAACCGATCCTCAAATCATAGATTGATTGAAGATTAACATATATAAAAAATATAAAATTATCATTCCATATTTATCTATATCATAATCTTCTATCACATATCTTTTTCTAACAATAATAACTAAATAATAATAATTTTAGAATAATATTTATTTCTTATCTTAATCTCAAAATGATTGAGATTGGAATGGTGATGATGTACACCAATCATCTAAACAACCAATGGCCCAGCGAGAAGAAAATATGCCACCAAGCAAAGATGATTGCTACATGCAGGCAGCATCGAAGACGTGAGATGATGACAGTAACGTCTATCTTCGTGAGATTATGACAGTAACGTCTAGATCCCGTGTACCATATCAAAGTCATTCTTTCTTACTGTGTAAAGTCCTCATAGGATACTCAGTGGAAACGGATGTTCGTTTGGCTATTTGTCGTGGACATGTGGTGGCCATGGATTAATGGAGTGCATTGAATCGTATCCTATTGCATGCTGCTGATGCACAGTGCCGACATGTGTTGTTTCTTCGTATCATCTACACGTGCATGTCTCTTCCTACGTATTTAAAAAAGGTAGACTCTAGCTTTTATAAATCAATTCGAATATTTTCTCTCACAAATTTACGTATTAAAAGTCTCATTTAAATGTTTAATGTTCATTAAAAAATTAGCATAGTTCATAATTAAATCTTATCAAAGTACAAGCCCAATGAGGGAGTCTCATTATGCACCTTTACCATACTTAATTACTAGATCAATTTTGATACATTTATCCATGAACTCTCGATCACTAACCTGCATCCATCAGTTATTTACTACAATATACAATCTGATCCTCTACGGGTTGGATGGGATCTTAATAAATAATATCAGAATAATCTTGTATGAGATTAGATGATATATTATTATACAAATTTGATAGATGTAATATTGGTAACTTGATTTAAACATCATTCAAGGACAATAATTGAGACTCACCAAGAATAATATATATAAGTTATCTACGATGCTGTATTAGAAATGAATGTCATTTTAGACTATTTTGCTAATGTAAGTGTTGATATATATACAATTTTCCTTTTTTCCTGTAATACTAGAATGCTAGAATCAATGTTCGTCGTACCGTACCATACCGACGTTTTGACCTGGGCTCGGTATAGTACGGTACCGGTGTACCGGGCAGTACATCAGGGCGTACCGAGCGGTACACTCTGGTGTACCGAACAATTTTATACTTTTTCATACTATAGCAGTGCTACAGTATAGTAGCATTGTAGCGGTACCGGACGGTCCGCGTACCTGTAACTTGTCGGACCGGTACGTACCGCCCGGTACGGGCGGTACGCTTCGGTATGGCAGACCTTGGCTAGAATACTGAATATAGTTCATATATTATTTTTTTAAAAAAGGTACTTGGTGCACAAGGCTCTAGCCAATACGAGGTTTGGGGAGGGTCTATATATGTAGCCTTACCAATAGAAAGATGCTGATTTTGTGACTCGAATGAGAGAGGCTGTGTGCTTAACTTAAATCTTTTATTGGTTATAAAGGAGCAACCTTATTATTGTCTTTTTACTGGTTACAACAGAGCAACCTTACCGTTGTAACAAAGGCTTGCCCTCAAATACCAAGAATTGTAATTTTGGTCTGTACCGGTGTACTGAGCTCTACTTGGTACGATACATACCGAGGTGTACCTACGGTACGCCCAAAATCATCAAAAAACCTCCAAAAATATACAAAAAAATAGAAAAAAAAGTTAGATTAGGGTTTTTAAGTTAGAAATAAATATAAATATAGTATAATTTCAGTAAAAATAATGTAAATTAGGAACGAATAGTGCTATATATCTTTTCTGGGCTTTGAGGAGTAGTTTTATGGTACGTTCTGGATCGTCCTTCTATTAATATTGAATTATCTACAAAAAAATTATTTTAATTATTAGATTACTTTTTATACAACTTAAACTTTATGATTAAAATGAATTAAATAATAAATCAATGGATATACTTGGTTCTATCATAAAAAAAAAAGACAAGGCTCCACGAGCGGTGGATCGAGATCCTCAACCCTATATATCTGTATATTAATATGATATGTTTGTCGGACCCAATTCTGAAATTGATCCCACGACATAGTATACTAAGACACCGTTTGCTATTGGTATATCAATATGGTGATGGTCGTAGTCTGATCATCATGAACAACATGTGTCTGAGGCGGCTCCTAAGGAACGGACGAATGTGGCATGTATTAATGCGGACTATAGAAAATGTCAGAACTTCTACTTTCGCTATTGATCTACTACTCTGTATCATATGATCGATCATCGTACTATTGCTCGAAGAAGCATGACCAATTATCATCGTGCTGTTGTTAGTTGTAAGATTCTCCATAATACGACGACTATGAATATGATGATCTAATCCATAAATTAGAGTGTTCTTCCTCTAGAAAGAGAGTACATACCACTTGATTAGAGTATTCTTCCTCTTAATCCTCCCAAATTAGTCTTCTAAATTTGATCTAATCTATAAATTGTAGTCTTGTTGAGTTTAGGAGAGTGAAAATGTGAAAATAAGTGAGAGATATGAGTGAAAAAAAGTTTGAGAGAGTTTAAGAGATTGAGAGAGTGAAATAAGTTAAAGAGGGGGGAGGAAAGGGTTTAAAAACCCTTTTCTAAGCCTCAAACGGTCAAATTGACTATTTGAAATAGGGCAATCTCACCCCTTAATCGATAACGATCGAAATATGATAGTTAGCGACTTGTACTGGTTGGTAACGGTCGGATTTCGATTGTTACCACCCGGTATAGACCCTATATTACCCGGTACAGGATCAAGTGATCGGTACTACTCGTATCAGGTGGTACGCATCGGTGCAGCAAACCTTGTCAGATAGATTAAATTTTAATATTTGACAAAAAATTGATGGACTTTGTTTTACAAGTGATGGATTAATTGCATGAATGCAACATTTTAAATCAGAGTAAATGATGGGGATTGTTGTTCTAAAATAGTAGATTGGCCTATTACCAATAGCTTGGCTCACTTATTTTAAACACGTGGGTAAGACCATTTCTTAATAGTTATTTAGCTTATAAATCTATCATTTCATGACAATTGGTATTAAGGCTAACCTAATGGTTTAACACAGCATATTTTTTTATTACTTTGGAATCGGTGCTCATGGATTGTTCAAGGGGCACATCAAGCTGCTAATATGGTGCTATACATCTCACATTTCTTCTACTAAGGATAATTCTGTGTTATTTGTACTGTTTTAAATCTTGATGAGGTTGTCAATGCTATATGATGTGTTATTCATACTGTGTTGAATGAGGTTGTCAATCTTTTAAGTGGGAAGTAATGACACCTAATAATTCCACATTAGGATCGGATGATGAGTATGATTAGTATATAGGACTAGATGAAGATTGGTTTGGCAAATTCACCGTTCTTCTAAACAATAATACACTTCTGTTGTGTGGCATTATATTCAATTATTGTTGTCATGCTATATGATTCTTTATATCTTTCTTAGGTCTTTGCCAAAAATTTCAGAAGAAGATTTTGAACTGATATTCAGTGAGCTTGATGATAGTGGTGACTTCAAGGTAAAAAATTTCCTCTATCTAGCATCTATTGATGCATGCGTACACATATATTTTATTAATTAAGAGATCTCTTTACCTAAAGCAAATGCAGAAACGTATGATTTTTGATGAATTCCGGAAAAATGCCATTTCTTAGTTGCATCAAGATACCTGATCTATATACTGTTAAGAAACTGGTGAACATGTACACAGTTTAATTTAGCAGGCACCAGAGCAATTAAACATTATGGTTTGCTGGTGAAGTGCTGATATCATAAAGTGAGGGTTGTAGAGATTTAGGCATGTTTTGAA